AAGCCGTTCGGAGAAACCCTCCACCCAACTCCGAAGGGCATGTCTGGGGCGCGGGCCGCGCGATTCTCGGCGCGACCCGGCACGCAGAGGGCGCCAAGGAGAAGCCCAAGCGGCCCCCGAGAGGACCCCACAAGAGGCCGCCAGGAAGAGGGTTTCTCCGAAGGGCTTAGGCGTCCTTCTCCTCCTCCTCCTCCTCCTCCTCCTCCTACTCCTACTCCTACTCCTACTCCTACTCCTACTCCTAATGTGGCCAAACCTGGAGGAAACCAAACCAACGAGGAAGCTGAAGGTGAAACTGAAGGTGCCTTCTGGTATCCGGATATACCCCGACAATGTCAATATGTAAAATTATCCCAGTGCGACCCTACCTAGGAGTTGGAACCCCTAGGAAAGCAGCATTAGTAGTAACAGTAACGCTAAGCTAAAGCTAAGTCAAAGCTAAGCTAAAGCTAAGCTAAATCTAAGCTAAAGCTAAGCCACAGCAAAGCTCTAAGCTAAGCTAAGCTAAAAGCTAAAGCTAAGCTAAGCTAAAGCTAAGCTAAAGCTAAGCTAAAGCTAAGCTAAAGCTAAGCTAAAGCTAAGCTAAGCTAAAGCTAAGCTAAAGCTAAGCTAAAGCTAAGCTAAAGCTAAGCTAAAGCTAAGCTAAAGCTAAAGCTAAGCTAAAGCTAAGCTAAAGCTAAGCTAAAGCTAAGCTAAAGCTAAGCTACAGCTAAGCTAAAGCTAAGCTAGCTAAGCTAAGCTAGCTAAGCTAAGCTAAAGCTAAGCTAAAGCTAAGCTAAGCTAAAGCTAAGCTAAAGCTAAGCTAAACGCTAAGCGAAAAGCTAAGCGAACCGCTAAGCTAAAGCTAAGCTACAGCTAAGCTAAAGCTAAGCTAAAGCTAAGCTAAAGCTAAAGCTAAAGCTCCGAGGGGACTGGGGGGAACCGCTCCCAGGGGACTGGGGGAACCGCCCGGGGCGCTTTCCACTGTCCGGCCCCTTTAAGCTAGAGAGTAAGAACCCTTCTAGGCAGAGCCTAGGTAGAGAAACATGCTTCGGCTTAGTTTTTAATACAAGGTGCATTGCTCACTGGAAAGGAACCCTTCATGCCACAGATAAACAAAAACTTCTCGTGACAGGCCATTCGGACGATTGGGGAAGACGGCGATGATGGGGGGAGCTTGCGCGCAAGGCGGTGATCACACACGCTCACTCACTACACGAGAACTTCTGAACGATTGAAAGGCAGCCGACTGTCGGACGGAGTTGCTGGCAAGACTGCTGCATTGGTGCCAGCCTTGGGCTCCTCATCAGGAGGCGCTTTCAGGTATTGGCAGCGTTGTTCAGAGGAGACGGGCATCACCATGGGCACGCAGGAATGGGCACGGATATCGGGAAGGCGGTTCTGCCTTGTCCTGGTTCGGAGAAGCTTGTTTCTCGATCATTGGGGTATCCATGGCTACTGTTGGAGGACGAGAAGGCCATGGAGTAGTTCGCACATATCGACATTCGACGGGTTCGTGGCAGGACACGTACACATGAGATGCCACCTTGGTGCCGCGCGGGCGACGTAGGAGATTCTGAACAAAATGGCACAAACAAGCCCTGGTTCCTGCCAAATAGTGAAACCATCACTCTTAGATGCGCGTTACGCTGGAGGTAAGGACCACGTACGCAATCACAATCACGCCCCAAACACTTTCAAATAATGACCCTTCGCAACCGCATCATGGCTGCTTGACACTTCCAGGCTGCACTTAAGACAGGTTGCAGTGGGGAGCTCGGTCCAGGGAGTATCGTTCTCTTCGTCGAATCAAACTACTAGTTGCAGCGTGGTACATGTGATGTTCGAGGCATCGCCCATGCGGATGTTCGTAATCATACCTCGGCTCCGTGTCCTTGGCCTGTATTCGAGAAGCGACGGACTCCGAATGTGCGTATCGCACCTGCTGCCCTACCGTGCGAGTCATGGCGGCAACGGCAGCGGAAGCGGCGAAGCCAGCGGGTATCGGAATGCTCTCGCTCAAGAAGAGTGCTGGTGCGGGCCAGTCATCGGCGGCAAAGGTACCCAAAGTGGCGGCAGGGGTGGAAGGGGGCGGGAGCAGACCACAATACGAGGAACGGCGGCGGAGCAGGCAGCGCAACGGGCAGGCTCGTGGCGCAGACGTTCGGAAGCTGGGGCGACCTGCGCGCACCCACAGCCAGCAGCTGGCGTGTCTCTGGTCAACGTTACGTTCCTCGTGCCAGAGACGTCGCAAGACGACGCAGATACGGCGATGACCGCTCACCGAGCAGAATCCGACAACAAGAGCACGTAGCTCAAAGAACACCAGAAAGCAGGGCAGGGGGACGGAGTCAACAGCCGCGGGGCATCACACGTCTATTGCTTCATGGCGCTGCTCAAGCACATCATCGACCTCAGCGCCAATGGAACCCGGCACGCGGTCGAGAAGCTGCGCACCATCATGATGGGAGTCTGAGAGACTCAGGTGCACGAGTTGGACTAGATGAACCTTCACCGTCGTTGTAAGAAGTCGTCTCGCATCGACGCGGTCGAGAAGAGGGGAGGCCTGTCCGTGGCGGTGAAGCGTCGCTCGTACAAGGTGCAGAGCATCGTCGATCAGATACATTCATCGGGGGCGCGCAAACATAGATTAGCGATCCATGGATTTGGCGCGCGGTCGCGAAATCCATGGCTCGGGGGAAGTGCCCTCCCCAAAATGCGGCTGGTGTCGCCTCGTTCGGCGGCGGAAATCCCCGATTTCCCATGGAAACGGGACCCGTCGCCAATCCACGCCCCCTTAATCCATGATTGCGATCGTCCATAGTTCAGAAGGGCGGTTGCACCAAGCTCAGTGGACCAGCCCCTGGGAGGGGGGGGCACTCGACAGAAAGAGATCTCGCGTCAGCTGTGAAGGGCAAGGGAGGCAGCAAGGGCAGCAAGTGAGCAGTAGCCTGTCGCAGGGCAGTGCTAAACTTCTGTGCGGGCTGGGTCTGCCTCACAGCCTGCTGGCATGACTTCGCATTCCTCTCCCGCTCGTCTGTGTATTCCTGCTGCTTCTTGTGCTGCCACTCGGGCCGAGAGGGAGGGGCAGTGGGAGAGGCAGAGCCCGCACAAACGAGAGCATGCCACCGCCTCCGCCCGCTCGCGACAGAGGCTGTGGGAAGTGGCGCGCTCGTGATCGTAGAGAGGGGGGGAGGGTCGGGAACTGGGTCAGAACCGGTTCGGGGGAGGGGGGTGATTCACAGTCGGGCCCCCATGAGCGGCATCCACGACCCAAGCTGCGCGCCACGGGGGGGAGGGTTCGCAACTCGGGGTAGCGCGGCTGGTGGCCGAGAGGTCATAGGTCGCGTTGCACATCCAGCTCAGGATGGAGGTGGCAGTCGATGAATCTGCGACGGTCAGAGGCAGTTCGGTTGAGAGACAATGCGGACGGTCCTCCTAGAGCAGTACGCAATACTCAGTATTCAGTACTCAGTACTCCTCCTGGTCGTCCTCCTCGTCTCTTCGTCTTCCTCCTCCTCCTCCTTTTCCCCCCTCTACTCCTCCTCCCATGTACCCCCCCAAGGAATTACACAACGACTGAGGGTACACATTGTCCAATAACTTGGACAAGCTTTGGCCCAGAGTTTAGCCCCATCGGCATTTCCAGAAAACCGGGGGGGCGGCGGTGACATGCACTAGATGCATTCGATCAACGTAACCCTACTATTGGGGCGTGCAAAATCACTATGGGGCGTACCGTGGTGCTCAGCAAAACCATGCTGCACATTCCTTAAAGCGCGCGCTCCACAGAAGTTCCCCTCCCGCCCACCGCATTGTTGGTTACCCTCCTTATCATCCTCCCGTCCCATCTGGGCGCCGACTAGCGTGGTCTCTTCAACTCGTGCGAATGCTGAAAGCCAACGCGCTCAACCATGGCATACGAGAATGAATGCGACTTCTTAAATTCAGAACAGCGTAGTCCTCTGACCGCATTCTGCACAGCATGCCATGAGACAAGCCCATGGGCAACAGCAGAAATGGGCATATAAGTTCCGCGAAGCTCGCACTTCACTGGAGAATTCGTAGTGAGAACCACAGAGCGAGAGTAGAAGAAGACAAAACGCCATAAACATAAATGTTTGGCGCTCTGCGCGGATTTCTTGGATTCGCGCAAGACTCCCCCTCCCTGACGCGCGGAGCGCGCCAGGGGCGGCGCCGGAGGCGCCGCCAGGGGGGCCCAGGCGCGACTCAAGAAATCCGCGCGGAACGCCTCAAGTGTATGCTGATGTGGCTCTTCTTCTTCGAACAGAGCGAGAGAAAGAGAGAGAGAGAGAGAGATGGGGGGGGACAGCCTCGTGCAGCTGACGGGCATGCTTGGGCGGAGACGGCGGCTCGACTCGCCGGGCGCCTCGAGGAAGAGGCGGGGAGCGAGCCGTCTGCCCGACGGGACACGAAGTCTGCCTGGCGGGATCCGTCGCTGCAGTCGCGGAGACGGCCAGAGCAGAGAGACCCACAGGACAGGAGGAGCAGAGAGCAGGCGGGTGGGGTGGGGGGGGGGAGAAGAGGCTGGGGGCAGACGGCGCAAAAATCAGACAGCACCTCTGCTAGCACGGCCAGCCGGACGAGGAACGCGCTCCAGCACCAAGCCGCGTCGCCCGTGGCCGAGAAGAAGCCGGAGCAAAGGGAGGTCGTCGAAAGCGGAGGGGCTTGAAGCAGCAGTGGCCGAGTGCACAACCTGGGAGACGGGCGGCCGCCGAACAGCGGGGGGTTCCGCAACAGAAGGGCACAGCACGCACTTGGCACGCGCTTTCAGAGGTCCGCGCGGTCTGCTGCCAAAGGGGCCCAGGGAGACACAAACGAGGCGACATGAATTCTATAGTTCCTGGATTTTCTGACTCCCTACACTTCCAAAAATGACATGTATTTGCACGGACATCTGCGTTAATGTGTATTTGTGCATAGTTGTCCCTCCCCTGGCGCGCGAAGCGCGCCAGGGGTGGCGGCG